AATTGTGCTAAGTCATCGTTGAAAAATAGCATATGATTTACATTCGAGTGAGTTCCTCAAACGAAATTCATTTGTTGACAGTTTTCCTGAAATGTTGTTTGATTTCCGAGTTAGATATCAAAATTTTGTTGGATTTGGATTCCAAAATAAGAACTGAGGAGGTGATGATAATGAAAATATTATTCTTCTGTAAAGTGGACTGAAGTAGTTCATATAATGGATAGCAAAAATTCTCCAAGTCAGTTTCCCAATGTCAAATTATGAAAAGAAGAGGGGACATGTTCCAGATCTATATAAAGAATTCATCATCCGCAAATATGATTTGAATTGGCTGATGATGAATACTTTATAGATCCGAAACATGTCCACTATATAACCTTTCATAATTTGATTATATTAAACGTTGTGGAGATAACTTAGAGTATTTTCACTATACTTATACGAATGACAATATTTTTTTTCATTTGGCCTTTCAACATCTGTAATAGTCAAATTATTCATTTCAATTTCTAGAAATACATTTCTTCTTCTTCAACCATGGTTGTTTCCAAACGGTGGGGCATTAAGAAAGGGAAATCTGAAAATACGCAATGTCCTGCAGAGATAGCTATAACTATAAAAAAATAAAAAGAAAGATATGCAGAAGAAAGACACACTTGTTCAAGTAAGTTCAGTGTGTACAGGGTGGTACAGAAATTATTGTACATAGAAGGTAGTAGGCAGTGAATGTTACCAGGTGCGGCGCTCGGTTTTCATCTTTCCATGTCAAGGCCACGTCAAAACTGGGGAAAACAAACTCAATCCTCACTCAATCCCATCAGTGCCATTAGCTTGTGTACTGTGAACTGATAAGAGGGATAACACTTTATGTCATTGACAAGTTTGACATCTACAGCTACAGCAAGATGTATGCAATGTAGTCTATGCACTTTTTCCATAGACAACAGTTTGTTTTCCCCCAGTTTGAAGTTCGTATTATGTAATCTAGATGTCGCCCACTTCGTGAATCTCGCGAATAACATTCCACTACCGATTTGGGCACTGTTTGAACATTATGCTACGCGATTCGGCACCGTTCAATTATTGGTTGTGATAGTAAGGTGTATTTGAATGAACCAATGAAAATTGAGACGGGTGCCGAATCCTATAGTGGAATGTTTAAAAGCTGCCGGGTACGTGCGTATCTCGGATCGTCTCGCACGGCGCAAAGATGCGCAATGCGAGATAAGGCGCGTCGGAGGGTCGCGTGATGGCATCCGGCTAATCGGTCGCAGGATTGACTACGGCTACGCCACCAGTGCTGCCAACTCAGCCATTTCATGGCTAATTCTATATAGACATTTTTAAACTTGTAGCTAACAAAAATTGCATCTAGCCATTTAGCCATTCTTTCTAGCAATTTCTGATACCCATACAAATATTCTCATTCTCATAATATTCTCGTAGTTAGTTCATTTAATTCACGAGCTGACCCATTACCTCCCACTGTACTCATTTGAGTACACTGCATTTCATGGTCTACTATCTACATCTATTGAAATTTTTGAACCAAAAAAATTCAGTATTCTGCAATATACAAGAAACTCGTAATTTTGAGATGTACTCATGCACAAATAGCGTAAATGCCGATCATGTCAACTAAAGAGATTGTGTAAACAAGTGCTGACTCATATCTTGTTTTCAAGAGTTACTTTTTGCATTGCGTCCTTTGAAAATTCTCATTTGGCTCGGTAAATTAGCTGACCAGGTATGTATTCGAGTCGCTTATACTATCCTGACACTTGATTTTTCACTACTCCTCAGATATGTGTGATCAATTTCGGAATTTCATTTCAGAACTGGGTTCGAAATAGATAATAATTTTCAGCCAATTTTTTCGAAATGCTTCTATAGCCAACGTGTCAAAACATTATAAGAAGGAATGGATGACGTTCTTTCTTCAAACCGTGAGCCTGAAATAATCACTCTGAGGTAGACACTCAACGAGATGAAGAAGAGTTGGCTATATCTTACTGCCCCATTGATATTCCTGGAGAGGTTGAAATTCCGTGTTCCTCGATTGATGGAATTCCTTCATCTGAAGTAGCTACTAGAAGTCAAGGAGTCATGGATAGCGACAATAGCAACAGCCCCGACGACAACGTGTCGTTTTCAGTACTTTTTCTCAAGAAACTCAAAACTTAAAAAAAAAAGGAGGAAGTAGAAAATTGGAGGAGAAGCCCAAGAGGACAAGGAGAAGGAATTACATGGATATCAGTAATGAGTATCACAGGCAGAACGAAGGGTTCTAAAGAGAGATTACAAAAAATGGTAGTGAATGTAAAGAACGATAGTGTAGTTCAGACCTTTGAGAGATTGTTTGATGAAAAAGTTGAGCAATCAAAACCTTATGTCTCACAGAAAAATAACCATAGTTTTGTGGTAACCGAGGCCCACATAAAAATCAGGATAGAAATTCTGCTGCTTGCTGGCAATTACCCCAGAGAACCCATGTACTGGAGCGTTGACGGTGAAGTTTCGGTACCATTCGTTGCTTCCAGTATGTCTAGAAATGAATTTCAAGAAATAAAGAGGTACATACACTTCTCTGACAATACCCAACTGGATTGTGATGCAATTTCAAAATATTAAACACTTTTTTGTAGTATTCAAGATTTTGAGTTTTTTCCTATGCACCCTCCCATCATACTCATTTGAGTACACCAATTTTTCTCAAAAACCTACCAGAAATATTTTTTTTTTCAATATTTTTCCAGTGTTTGTTTTTTTTATGTTCTGGTTCCCACGAAAAGGGATATCCTGTAATGTTCAGAGAACATCGTGAGAACTTAAGGAAATAAGGTAGGAATTGGTGTTCTTCCTAAATTTCTGGAGGTTATATGCCTCGGGGAACACCTCCCTTGGCAATGTGTTAGTAGGAAGGGCTAATTATTACAAAACACCAATGAATATATGAAAAAAAATATCCGTGTGAGGTAATGGGCTGATCTAAGTCTAATTTAGACCAGTTGACCAGTTTGTATTTCTATGAATTTTGTACTCCATACACAGGGTGCTCCAAGATTCCTGGTTTTTGCTTAAAAAGATGCAAAAAATGGCTAAAAATGTTTGCTCTTTTCCAACATACTACCAGATGTTTTTAAAATTGGCTGTTGGCAACACTGTACGCCACCGCCTCTAATTGCATTGCATTGCCGATCATAATGGACGAGAGTCGATTCGGTGGATGCCAGTGGATGGAAAAACGCGCGACACACGGATTTTATGCTCTCTCGCAATGTGGACGAAACAGAAAAAAATTGAGAAACTAGAACATCGCGTGTGTTTCAATGGGATCATAAAGTGTGACTCAATGGGGAACTTCGATCCAAGTTGCCAACCTAAAAACCTCTACCAATGTAGAAGCAACATCATATTAGTTTTATTATTCAAATGGCTTTATTTTGATGAAATCTGATTGTAGGAGTCTACTCCACTAATAGAAGTAGGGGTCGCCAAAACAAGAATTCTTGTCTTGATAACAACTTCTTGTATTGTCTTGAGAAAAAGTTTCGAAAAATCTTGTCTTGAAGTTTTTCTTGACCTATCATTTCTTGTCTTGACTCGAACAATGTCAAGATCTTGAAAAGTTTCCAAATTGAAAAGACAATCTAAATCTATGTCCCATTGAAAGCAGAGACGGCACGCAAAAAAGTTCTACAGGTATAGGTATTTAAGAACGCTAAATAGACTCAAATATCAAGTTTTTGAAGCATATTAGGTGTACCAAATTTCAATCAATTATTCCGAAAATTGTAGGAGAGAATTCAAAAAACATAAAAAAAATCTGAAACATTGACACCCTGTAAATCGGAAACGAAGCTTCCACGCATATATGTTTGTATGAGATTTTCATCTTGAAAAAATGTCTTCTTCAAACTGTTGAAGTTCTGCTACAAAAAACTGAAACACCCTGTATATATACACTGTTGATGGCTTGCTAATTGCTACAACCTTGCATCAACATAGCTTTTAAATTTGCTTAGTGTGATAGTTAGTGCAGAGATGTATATAAATTTAACTGGTGCGCTTGCTCCCTATTGAAGGTCGTTTGCAAGTTTCTCGATGGCGCCTATTCTGATAAACCTTTGATAAACATACTTGACGTGGGTAAATCTCGCTAAGCTCATCCCGGTTACAATCCATATTTACAGGAAACATATTACCGACCGATAAATATTTGGATACGTATATGATTTGGATCAGAGCAGTGAACTGATTCCTGATCAAAGGATCGAAACGTCAATATATCAAAAATATTCTTGAGCTGAAAAAATGGTTATTTCTGAGATTGGGGTCAAGTGTTCGTTAGGGATGTGTTCCGTAGTTTCTAAATTTTGTGTATAATACCTAATCCACCATAGAATAAAGAAAATCTCTGTTCTACAACAGTATTATTTCAGTGATTTGAAATATTAGCGTGAACTGGTGTGAATAAATTCTAAGGTGAGTACCAGTTACTATATCTGCCTATTATGATTTTCGATATTGGTCTATTTCAATAGTTGATACATTCTTTGTTCTGGTTCTTCAAAGAGGAAATTCATCAGATTTCATGCTTTAAATAGGTTTATGTCATGAAAGAAGTGAAACTTATTAAAATCGGCTACAAAAAAGATTTCTTGCTTCTATTTCAAGTTGAAATTTGAATGAAAATGTTGAGCACAGTATTTATTCGACCACAGAACAATGATGGAAAAAGATTCATCCCTCACAGAACCAAGGTTTTGAACGATTTTCCGATTATGGCGCCTCTATCGCAAATAACTGAACCCCACGTCCAAAACTCGCTTGCAATTGTTCCATATCGAGAGTTAGTCTGACGAAGCAATTGTTCCATATCGAGAGTTAGTCTGACGAAACAATTGAAGAGTGAGCCCACCAGTTAAATTTCTATACATCTCTGTTAGTGCTTCGATCGTGTATCGCCAGTCATTTTGACGGTATCTTTTTATTTGCAGCTTCACGCTTAGGGGAAAAGTGGAACCGAACGTATTGAAGAACTTGGGGGACTGCTCCTTCGAGTTGGAGATATGCTATCTCCCCCACATGGGACCTCCTCCACCGAAATTCACCGGAACCCCGACTAGATCCATTCTGAAGAAGGGCTCCTTGAACTATAATAGCCCTGCGCGCGTCAACGTCATCAGGGATGGGGAGGCCAAACCAGATAATTTCAAGGATTCATCGAATGCACTTGTGGGCATCAGAAGGAAGAGGTTGAAAGGGGACGCATGGTGTTACAAAAAGGTGTGCGAAGAAATTTTGGCGCTGACTGCATCAGATATGAAAGGTGTCACTGAGTCGTCCGTGTGATATTATTTATGTAGTATTTAGTATAGCGTGCACAAGTTATGTTCAAGGTATTTATTTTATCACAGATCAAACTCGTTGAGAATTATATTTTTGTAGTTATTAGTAGGTTCAAAGGTTCTAATTGTAGGATATTAACTAGATAGTATGTATTTGTTTATATGGACTCATAGAGGAGTTATGGAAACACACACAGTGTGTATTAAGGCCGGGACACACATATCCGCGCCGAGTCCGCACCGCATCCGCACCGAGCCCACTCCGCGAGTCGGCCGACAGTCGGTGATGGAGGTGGGAGGCCACACATTTCCGTGTGTCGGCCGTGCATGCAGTTGCATTTCAGTTTTCAGTTTGCCCTTCTTGAAGATGTTGAAAAAATTCAGTAGCAGTGAGTTAGGGATGGTAGCACTCGCATTAGAGGAAGAAGATACTAATTGAGGACCTCGGTGCAAGAACCGAGCAATTGCATTTTATGCCGAAATTGGGTTACTGTATTTAACATATAGAATTTTTTCTTGCGCATCTTTTGGTGCAAGAATAAAGCGAATCCGAGAGAGGATTCACCTGATGAGCAATTGAGGTGCAAGAGTCGGGCAACTCCAGGAGTTACCCGATTTTAGCACCGAAATGTAAGCCATAACGGTGCTAGAGTCGGGCAACTCCAGGAGTTACCCGATTTCAGCACCGAAATGTACGCCTGTAGTGGGAAATGTCGGAGTGAGGTTATTAGCCTTCCCGCGTCTTCCATCGTGTGTGGCGTGTTTAGCTCGATCATATTTTGTTTCATCGGAAAGTGAAAGTGGGCCCTTTCGAGATTCGGGGAGTGAATATGTTCCAAAATCATAACTGTTGACGACGAGGACCCAAATTCTGGCAATGTTAACGAAAATCAAGACGCAGGAAACGTCAGCGATTCATACTATGTTCAAAATACTATTTGTTCACAATATCTCTCGTAATATATTTCATTTTCACTAAAGAAGGAAAATTACTACACGAGTTTGACTATATTTTCAGAATTTTGTCTTTTTGGGGCAAGAAACAGGCAACTTCTTTTTTAGCTTCTACAATGTGAATGAAAATTATAGTATCGACGTAAATACAGCTTTTCTAAGGTAACTCTAAAGGATTTATGCTATTTAGCATAATGTTTTTCAAGTTTTTCCAAAATATTGAGTTTTTTTCCATTCCCCAACAATTTGAAAAATTGGAGTTGCTCTGTTCTTGCACTGAGGTCTTCAATTGGAGACGAAATCGAAATTATCGAAATTATCTTCCACACACGCTCTTCGTAATTGACGTTCCTGTATTTTTCATTTGTTTGGTCGGACAACACTGAAAACTTCCAAATTTCCTCTATTAGCTTTTCCGATTCCATGTTATAAACCTCTGTGAACCCGCACCGCATCCGTGTTAAATTAAACTGAACTAGTTGGACACGGCACGTACACGATGCGGAGGTATCGGAAGGATGACGGTGCGGACAAGTGTGGACTTTCTGGTAAGATTGCATCATTTTATTTTCTCGCCGTGTGTCGTCCAACACACGGCCGTCATGCGGTGCGGACTCGGCGCGGATATGTGTGTCCCGGCCTTTAACGAAGCCTTCAAATAAATATTATATTGTGTGTCGCATTATATTCATTACTCCGTATTGTATCATAATAATTATCGGGTATCTCCCAATATAGGGTCGTTTTCTCGATTATTCTGGTGAAAATATATTAGGAATGGGAAGCCAAAGCGAATAATTATAAGGATACATCAAATGCACTTGTGGGTATATACAATAGGTGTGTGAAGAAATTTTGGCGCTGACCGCGTCATATTTGAAAGATGTCACTGAGTTGTCCGTGTGATATTATTTATGGAGTATTTAGTTTAGTATAATGTGCACAAGCCATGTTCAAGTTATTTATTTTATTACAGATCAAACTCGTTGAGAATTATATTTTTGTAGTTATAAGTAGGTTCAAAAGTTCTAATTGTAGGATATTAACTAGGCAGTATGTATTTGTTTATATGGACTCATAGAGGAGTTTCGGAAACACACACAGTGTGTTTTAACGAAATCTTCAAATAAATATTATATTGTGTTCTTTTCCTCCTTATTGTATCCAAATAATAACCGAGTATCTCCCAATATAGTGTCATTTTCTTGATGTGTCTGATGAAAATATATTCAGGAATATGGAAAGGCCAAAGCGCATAATTATGAGGATTCATCAAATATCAAACATTTTTCATCAATTCAGATTTTCATTTCCATTGAAGGAGCACGTGTATTTTCAGCATTGTTCAGCATATTCCAAAAATTTTTATACAGTGTGACCCATTAAAGATGGAAGCACCCTTATAAAACTTACATTTTTCAACCGATTGGAATGATTTTTTTTTTGTTAGGTAGATATTCAAAAAGTCTATTAGGACACCAAATATCATGAATAAATCTCCATTTCCAGGGCCAACTAATCTGATTTTTCAAGGTCAAAAATCTAAAAAAATTACTAGCGATTTTTTTAGAAAAAATCTGACTACACCACTGGATTTGTGACATTTTCAAATGGGTAACATGTAAATTACGTTGAAATGCGTCAATCAATAAAAAAGTTATAAAGGAATGAAATTTGAAAAATATGCCGTTTAATCAACCCATCAATTTTTATTACTGAACAGATTTCGATGAAACTGTGATCAGTAATATTCCAAGACATCCTGAATCCAGTGGAGTATACAGAATTTTCATAAAATTCCTGAACATGAATTGGTGGGTTGATTAAACGGCATATTTTTCAAATTTCATTCCTTTATAACTTTTTTATTGATTGACGCATTTCAACGTAATTTACATGTTACCCATTTGAAAATGTCACAAATCCAGTGGTGTAGTCAGATTTTTTCTAAAAAAATCGCTAGTAATTTTTTTAGATTTTCGACCTTGAAAAATCAGATTAGTTGGCCCTGGAAATGGAGATTTATTCATGATATTTGGTGTCCTAATAGACTTTTTGAATATCTACCTAACAAAAAAAAAATTATTCCAATCGGTTGGAAAATGTAAGTTTTATAAGGGTGCTTCCATCTTAAATGGGTCACACTGTATATCAAGTAAAGCCTAGGAACAAAAAGGAAATTTCATTCGGCGGCCAGAAAATAAGCGCTGTATCAAAATTCCAGGTGGAATTGTGAATAACTACAAAACTGAGTGAGAATTTCATCCATTTTTATAGGAAGCCTGTTGTGCCCTGCCTGCATGAAGTTAGGAACGATACTAATGAATATTGCGAGTAAATATTAAAAATACAGTATTCAATGATTCATTAATATTTTTTGAAATATTTATACCTTATGAATATCGCACATGATACCATTGAACAATCATTGAAGAGGTACATCATTTCGTATTGACCGCCATAGCTGAAATTGTTCTGATTTGTCAAAAACTGTGTCCTTAGCGAGTCATGGTTATTCGAATTCTTGGTCTAATCCACACATGACAGTGACAGCTCACTTATGAATTGTGTTGTGACATTTTTATCAGAATTAATAATCATCAGATTATTCCAAACATATTTCATACTTTAAAAGTTGCTTTCAGCTGTAATGAGATTTGTAGTTTCAACTATATTTTGTTTTAAGAATGTGTCCTTTTCATTGGTTGCTGGTATCTGTGTGTATATTCCATAATATGATTGACATTATCGACAGGTTTTTTTCTACCTAGGTAAATTTCTTTATCAATTCATCATTATTTACCTAGGTTTAAAAAGTGTTACTTATTCTCATTAGAGGAAATCCTTGAATAATGGTGATTTCTCAGGTAAGTGATTGAAAAACGTCTATTATATCTATTACCCCTATTACCCCCTCCCTTATCGGCGCCCTTGTTGTAAGAACATACATAGTGTGTACCTATGGAGGATAGGGAGATAAGGTAGGTCTTGGATTTTTAGGAATGGCAAAAAATTCATAAACATTGCCACTTTATACAGGGTGTCCGCTAAAAGGAGGTCAATATATTAACCACATATTCCTTGAACAAAAACAATATGAGTTTCTAAATATCATTTTTCATTTTAGCCCTTCATATTCGGTATACAGGGTGTCAAAGTTGGAAATTAAAAACTGTTTTTTTCTAATTACTCGCGTATTTGATAAGATATTAATCTCAAAATTGGTACATTACTTCAGCACAAAGAGTTACATCGTGTGAGGAAAACAAAACAGAAGATAACTGTCAAATATTCAAGATACTGGGGGTCAAGTTCACACTTACCCCCATATTTTGTTTGTACGTGCGCTAATGACTTCCTATCTATTTTCCTTCAAGTGTTCAATCATTTTTGAGTATTTTTTGTTTCCTGTAAAATTTCGATTGAATCATTTGTTTTTAAGATAATTCGAAAAGTACTGGTTATTGTTTGATGCCTATGCGGCTTAGGTAATCTCATAATGTTCACATACTCCTATTTATTTCGTCGAAATTGAAAGAGGGCGTATCTTTTTACGTACGAAAAGGTAAATATGGAAATACCGGGTGCTCGGAGCAAATGTACTAAAATAATTTTTACAAAAAAAAAAATTAAAAAGTGTAAAAATTATTTTAATACATTCGCTCTGAGCACCCGGTATTTCCATATTCACCTTTCCGTACGTAATAAGATACGCCCTCTTCCAATTTCGACGAAATAAATAGGAGTATGTGAACATTATGAGATTACCGTAAGCCGCAAGGCATCAAACAATAACCAGTACTTTTCGAATTATCTTAAAAACAAATAATTTCATCGGAATTTTACAAAAATCAAAAAATACTCAAAAATGATGGAACACATGAAGAAAAATAGATAGGAAGTCATTAGCGCACGTACAAAAAAAATATGGGGGTAAGTGTGTACTTGACCCCCAGTATTTTGAATATTTGACAGTTATTTTCTGTTTTGTTTTCCTCACACGATGTAACTCTTTGTGCTGAAGTAATGTACCTATTTTGAGATTAATAT